CAAAAGTATTAATTATAAAATATTAGATCTAATTCAAAGGATAAGAAATCTATTGATTAAGAGTTTAAGAAGTAGATAGTGGTGCATTATGTTCAAATAAGTCACTACTAAGATCAACTTTTGCTGATTTTGAAGTTGTGGAAACGGTGTTGCCTCTTTTTCTTGGTCATCAAGATCTCATTTTTGTTTCTGTCTAATATAATTTGTTTGGTGACAATTAAACCTATATTTTATTTTGCAAAAATTGGGATTTAAAAAACTTCTGAGAATATTAGACGAAAAACGTATATAAAATGTCAGAGTTGCTTAGTATATAGTGTAATAGATTACTTAATTCGCACAAATTACAATCTGTGTGATGCAGATGATCTATAGAATTTATCTATAATTCTGTTCAAGTTTCATAATAAAATATTCTGAATTGCTGCCTAAGTTAATTCTACTACAGTTTACCTAAGTTAATTTATCCACTGTTTACTTAAGTACTATGCACAAAATTGCATCGGAAAACTGTACACATACCAGGCTGGTGCACTATAGTGACAGGTATAGGTTAATTGAATTTATTACGGGTTTAATCTGAAAGTTAAATTTTATAAAGAACTAATGTCGATACCGATATATAATATACGGTATATGGCTGAATTGTATGTGAAACTACCTCATTAAGCATAATGTACATAGCGCTAATTCTCTTAAAAATAAATTTTATTCTCGTAAAGGTCTTTTTGAAAAGTGTTGATTGCTCGTATTTAATACTGTGAATAAATTAAAATTGCTCGTATTTAATGCTGTGAATAAATTAAATCCATTAAATAAAATGAATAAAATCTAATTTTAATATGTACTGAAAAATTTTCCTGATGATGTAATTTCGATTACGTTTATTATTAAATTTATTTATATAAATTTAAAAAAAAATGACAGCGCTAGTTTTTATTTTTACCTTTTTCTTAGAAATATTAAATAAAATGCCACCAAAAAAATTACCTTCTCGTAAGTATCAATCACTATTTAGAATTATCAATCATTATTGATTTTGACATAAGCTCTTTGTCTTCATAGACAAACCAGTAACAAGAAAAAGCGCAAAAAATGCAAGTAAAGACGCTAATACTATACCAGTTGTGTCAGATAACTCTGAACATTCCAACGATTTGCCAAGATCAAAAAAAGCATGAAATACTTGCAAAACAAATGATAAAGGTAGATTTGTAAAAGTAATATAGATGTTTGCCATGCAATCAAAATTTAAAAAAAAACTTTTTTCTCTCTCATATACAAAGAAAACGACGATTTAAATCAAGAGGCCATTGAATTAGATGACGATAATTTACAAACTAGAACTGGTACCAAACATCAATCAAGACCATCTTCTATAGAATCACAAGGTCGACATAATTCTACTGAGACTCAGCAAAATCGAAACCATAATGTTTCGCAAATTCACGAATCACAAAATTATCATGATAATCTTGAATCTTTACCCTTTAATGCCAATAAGTACCAACATAAAATATCATCTCAAATGAATACAAGATCTACTATCTTAAGAGTTCAATCAAATGAACCTGGTGTTGATCCAGAGGCTATTGAATTAGATGATGATAGTTTACAAGCTAGAAGTGGTACCAAATATCAATCAAGGCACTCTTCTATAGAATCACATAGTCAAAATAATTATATAGTGATTCAATCAAATCAAAATCACAAGTCTTCTCAAATTTGCGAATCACAAAATTATCATGGCAATTTTGAATTCTCGTCTTTTATTGCCAATAAGTATCAACATAAAGTACCATCTGCACTTCAACTGAATTCAAGATCCAAGGTTCAATCAATAAAGTCACCTTTACTTGAGTGCCCTAACATTTATGACAATCATTATTCTGATCGGAGTTACCGTCCACATTCTGCTGAAACGGAATCTTCAGATGATGAAATCTTTTCTTCACTTGGCCAGCATTACGATACGAATTCCTTTAAAAAGTCATCTCATTCGGCACTTTCATTAAATATGCAAAATACAAAGCATACCACTCCATACCCAACTATTCAATCGGGCTTAGCAGCTTCGTCTACAAAAAGTGGTCTTTTTTTTTAGGATGAGATACATCTTGTATGCTGGCTAGAAACACATAGAGACGTAATATTGCAAGCGTTGAACTCTATGCTTTCATCACTATCTGTTATGTCAAGTCAGGTTAGAACCAACTGTTTGCCTAAATTCTTTATATACTATATAGTGATTATATAAATTAAATAATAGTTATCTTCATCTGACTCACCAAATTTGGCAAAAATACTTTCTGAGCAATCGCGAATTTTATTTCTTCGAACTCGAATGCCAACAAAAAGAACCCGTACTTTACTAATCAAATGCATTATTCCTAATATTGTTAACACACCTGATTGGAATGGAGTCTCAAGTAAATTAAGACAAGCATTTGAAAACTTTCATAGTACATATAATGATGATATTGCCAAATTGGCAAGTCAGCTAATTAGAAAAAAAAGGCAAGTAATTATTATTATTATTTCACTTTTATAATAATAGTAATTAATATATAATAATATTCAACTAAATTCTAGCAACCCTACTAACCGTGATATCGAAGGATTTATAGCTGGAGCCGTGTGGAAAAAGCCACTTAAGAGGCACATTGATATACTCAATTATGATGTTTTCAAAAACCAGCAATCAGGTGTAAAGGCATTAATGACCTTCATTTCTAAATGCCTCAAGATACATGTAGAATATTTGGTGGCAGAGTCTAGGGGAGGAAATCCAGATTACACTTCCATGGTCTTAAATCGTGTTAAGGAATTGGATTATATTACAATTGATATTACTTTTCCAGCTGCAAGTCATTTTCAGCACGCCAATTAGCTAGAACTTAAAGAAGAACAGAAAAGGTAAGAAAAATAAAAAAAAAATAATTCTAATAGTAACAATAACTAAATTATATTAAACTTTATTAGATTTCAGTAAATAGATATATATTCATCTGCACTATGCCTTATTTGGATTATCCTTTTTGTTTACATTGTGAACTTTATTTGGATAATTCTGTGCTTACATTGTGAACCTTATTTGGATGTTAATAGATTCTATTTGAACTATCGCTATATCCAAAATAGTTGCACGTGTAAATTTTTTTATCATGTATACTGCACATCCTTTTACATATACAGTATATTGAAATAAAAGTATTGTAGTAGTTCGTTAAAATCTTACTCAATCATATAAACTGCTATATAATGTAGATTGCAATCTCAATAATTTTATAACTTGGGTCCCATTAACTAGTAATTTATAAAAATCATGGTTAATATGCTATAAATATTAGTTTTTAATGTATATATGAAAGCAATTATAATACTGTGCTGCCTTTAGTATCCAGGTCTTATAAAAAAAAAAAGTGTATTATACATAGCAATATACCCATAGTACTTAGTAGAGAAGCCGTTGGTACTGAACATGGTTGTATTATGCTTCAATAAATTTCAATTAAATCTATTAAATCTTAATACCCAGATCTTATACAATTTTTTTTTAAAAAATTTTTGTTTATATTTTTCTTATGCTCGATACATTTGTCATGTAATGTTCAAAACTTTTTTGGGTGGTGATTTTACTCGGTCAATTTACTATCCCTAAATACAACTAATTCTAGCAATTATTAAAAATGTGTTCTGTTTGCATGTTTAAAAGTTGTATGGATCATAAGAAAAATGATATTCTAAGTTTCAATTAGAATTATCGAGCTTTTATGCCTTGAATGTCTAAGAATAATTTTCTTATTAGAATAGTAAAATACTTCAAAAATTTTAATTTAACTAAGGGTTATATATTCGATTTCATTATTATTTAAACTCCTCCCCAAACTCCTGTCATTATATTATATAATTACTGTATGATAGATCACTATAAAAGAACATTTAGCAAGCCAAAAAAATCGAATCTCTCATTTATGCAAAACTAGACATCTTACAAACTTACATAAGAGGATAATTATTGTTTCAAAGTGTTATCCGATTAAAGCTTTTTTTTCTCATTATATCTAGTTTATAAGAAAGCATATCTTTACCTGCTTTCCATTTTTTCTTAAAACTAGAACTTCTTTAGGTTATTTAATAACATGTTCTCTCGAAATAGATTTAAAAAAAGTAATCCACCTCATCCTTACTTAAATATATGTTCCATGAAAACTTATTTAAGTGATTATACTTTCTCAAACAACCTAAACAGCACATTTTTAAATAATTTTAATAATGACGATCGATATTCGGAATATAACTCGAATTATAATAGACAACAGTTTGAATTTAACGTTAATAATAATCAAACTAGTAATGAACAGCAATCTTATTGTAGAAGTGACAGCAATCGAAACTATCAAGACTATGGTGTTTGCAGTGATCAGTACACTATTAATAGCAGCTTAGACAATATCGACAACATAGAATCTGATTGGGAATTCGAAGATAACTTAAGTTATAGTAATTCAAATAATGTAAATAATGATAATGAATTTAATGACAATATAAATAGTTATAGTTCAGATGAAGGATGTGAGCTGATGGATAATATGTATGATAATGAATTTAATGACAATGTAAACAGTTATAGTTCAGATGAAGAATGTGAACCGAAGGATAATATGTCAAAGATATTTGATGGAATAAAATCTGACATAAATTGGGATCATGATTGCCCTTTTGGTCCATTTGAAAATTTCACAAATATGGCCATTTTCATATGGGCTACTAAGTATATAATTTGTAAGTAATTTGATATTTGTTATATGTCTGTTATATGTATATAAACTAACAATTTATGCATTTTAGCAACTGCAGCATATCATGACTTAATACAAATTTTACTTCATCTGCAATTTAAAAGAGAACATTTAACTACGAATTTGCAATGTCTTAAAGAACAACGTGAGCAACTACCATTAATGAAAATTTACAGTCATATTGTTCCAATAAATCCTAAGAACACATCATCTACATCTAAAGACTCTACTCGTGTTTATTATTTTTCTCTAATCGAACATATTCAATGCATATTAAAGAATCCATCTATTAGCCCCTATTTATATTTCGGACCGGGTATTTTATCGAAGTTTTGTAAAGAATTATGGGAGGGAGACCTTTGGGCTGAATCACCTCTTTTCAGCCAACCAAATCTAATTACTATACAAGGTATATACATATATTGGTTCATGTTATAATTAATGATTATAAGTCGATAAATCGACTTAGCCGATTAAAAGTGCTCTCAAGCACCTAAATTAATAAGTCAGAACACAATTTTCGATTAGTGGAAAATAATTATTCGGTCAAGTGAATTCATTATTGAGATGATGAAAAAAGATGGTCTGAGACCATCTTTTTTTATTCATAGAGTTGTGCTGATAAGCAAAAATTTAATATACCATTCTGCAACATGAATCTTTAGCAAATAAGGTTCACTTTAATTAATCGTAGTACTTGTACATTAGTGTCAGAATCATAATGTGTTGACAAAGGTTGGAAAATATATTATTTTATATGCAAAAGGCAGTCGACTTTATATAGCTTACAAAGCTGATTTAACAAGTTTAGGTAGATTACAAACACTAGCACTAGTTATAACTATCAAAAAAAACTTTTATTTAAATAATTTTATTTATTAGTTTATAATTCGATTTTAATTTATTTATTTACCTTATATATATATTAGGTTTATTCAATTGTAGAGATTTTATTAAGTATTGGTCAGCTACTGAAATTGTTGAAGTTGGTCAAATTAGATCTTTCGTTAGTATGGATGAAAAAATAATGACTCAGATTCAACGATTATTTACATTTGAACAAATTCTGCAATATCTATACTCAAAACAAAGCATTCCATCTTCACCAAAAGAACGATATTTAGTTGAAGAGTCTGAATATTTTGTTATTGACCCATCATTATTGATTTGTTGTCTTAAAGTTTGGCTCCAAGACCAACCAGCACCACCTAAGTTTGATTTATTCGTCAATAAAATATTATATAATTATAACGACAGGTGGAAATTTCGTTCAATAAATTTACATCATCAGCATCCATCTAAACGTATATCTATTAAGCAACTAGCAAATTTAGAGATGTCAGTTCTTAAATTTTATTTAGATTTATATTACGATGATTTCAGTACTTTTAGGAATACTTACCATTCTTTAGGTGGCATTTACTTGCAAATCAGTAATATGCCCCAAAAATTAAGAAGACAACTTCGAAACCACTTCATTATTGGATTAGTACCATTTGGTGGCAAATTTCAGGACTTTATAAAAACTTTTATTAAAGAGGTTCATCAACTTGAGCAAGGTTTCGTAATGAACGTAAATGGCATAGATTGTTGGATTTCAGGTGGGTTAGCCATGATTATGGCTAACTTACCTCAGGGTAATGACATTGCAGGTGTATTGCACCACAATGCTAACCTTGGATGCCATAGTTGTAAAGCTTCCAAGCCTGAATTAACAAACATTTCATTTGATATTTATTCTAATGGCCATTACCATCAAATAACTGACCAAGAGTTTGAAATTATAAAAACACAACCAACCAATTCAGCATGACTACAGGCTTGTTCACAATATAGGTTACAAATATTACTAGGCCTCCTTGATTCTATTCTTCATGATCGTCATCAACATATTCCACAGGATGCATATCACATTATTGCAGAAAAAGCAGCACGGCTTCTTGATTGTACTTGCCTTATTCTAACAGCACAAGGTGAAAATAATTTGATCAATTCTTGGAAGTATTTTGAGGTTCCAGCTAAATGGGCATGTTTACCAAATTTAATTTCGCATAGACATTCATTCATGATGTCAGATATTTTGTGTATCTTAATGATATTTCCTTTTATACTAAAGCGTTTTCTAATGATTGGAGATATTAAATCTACTTTTTTAAATAAAACAAAAGCTCGATTAAATTTATTCCGGCAAAATGACGTTATAATTTATTTGATTCGGGTGTGGGGACTCTCTGCGCAAGTTAGTAAAAATGTTTTTTCATTATCCATTGATAGATTAGATGGGTATACTCGACTTCAAAAAATATTGGATAAAGAACTTAAAGCATTAATTGAGGTATTTATTTATTAATTTGCTTGTTTATTAATTTACTTAACCTTAATTATATATTTAAAAAATGTAATCTACTTAAATAAGTTATTTCCTAATAGTTTTCAAAGTCTTCTGAATCTTCATGCAAGTCGGCACCTAGTGGATCATGCATGTCAATATGCAACATGTGTCAACACAGCAGTTGGAATTAAAGAAATGGTGCATAGAATATTTAAATCGATTGTACCATATACAAACAAACACAATCTTGAACTTACACTGCTTCGACAAGTTAATACATTGCAAACACTGCGGTACTTGGCAGACGGAGGAATGAATGACCACATAAACAATATTCCACCACAATTAATGTTCAAAGAATTATTTATTGAATCACGCTTGCGCCACTTGCTAACAGGTTGGTGCGTTGATAATACCTTTTCAATGCACTTATCACATAAATATGAACAAGATACAATATTATATATCTGAACACTATGTACGTATATAGTCAAACTTCCCTCCCACCTTCTCACATTAATCCAACTTGGTATCACTCTCTCAATTCTCCTATTACTAATGATGAACTTACAAGAACTCTCTCTCAACTACCTAATAACAAAGCCTGTGGTCCTACAGGCATTAGTTATGAAATGCTT